ATATAGAACAAACTTTTAATCACTTTAAAAGTATTGTTGATAAAAAACAAAAATAGAAAGGAAATTTTACTGTTACAGTTTTATAGTGTTATAGTTAGCAAAATGTCGGTAACAAAAAGTCAAAAGGCAATATTAAAAAAAATATAGACATCAATATCAAAGTATACATACGTACATAAGCAAATATATAAAACAATAAATATTATCCTTCAGAAGTTACCGCATTTTAAAAGGTAACAATAGATTTTTTTTCTATTTTCTATTTATATGTAAAAAGAAAAACAAAGCAAAACAATAGATTAGAAAAAAAAGAGCATACCGAATTCAAAGGATACGCCACATTCCAGCTATTGTTTATTTTGTGGGAGCAATTTTTTTCCACATTTTTTTTTTCTTTCGGTTTAAACAATTGAAAATATAGAAGTCAATAAGGATGACAGCATAAATATTTCGTCCTTAAGTGTTGACAACTTACTGTGTACCTTTATATTTACTTTTTTTCTTCTTCTGATTTTCTGCTTTTGTTTTCATAAATTTCTATGATTTCGGCAAAATGTTTTAAAAAGATTTTTTTTTAATTTTAATATTTTTCATATAAACGTTCATAAATGTAGATGTAATTTTAGCACAAAAAAAAAGGAACGAAACGAGAAAGAAGAGAAAGAAATCCTTTCGCAAAAATCAATGAAAATGTATTTTGCTTGTTTTTTTTTTACAATTAATCATTAGAATTTGTCTATTTTGTGTTAAATAAAGGATTTTCTAAGAATGGTGATGAGAAAATGAATAGAAAACTGAAAAAGACTATAAAGGTAACTGAGATTATTTCAAAAGAAACAGAAAAAAATTAATTGAAAAATCTCGTCACCTGTACAATTTCATTTTTATCAAAGGTAATTTGATTTCTTATTTAAGGATTTTTTTGTGTTTTAAATCCGATTTTATAGTTTTTTTAGTCGGAGACATACAGTCTACTTTTCCTATTATAGTTATTGCAGTCTAGAATTGTGTATTGGGAGTTAATTTTTTTGGTGTAATCTAAAAGACTACTGGTTCCATTAAGGTTTGTGGCAGAATTAAGATTATTTAATTAAAATGAATTTTAGAATATTTAATAAGCCTGGTGTTATTGATATGCATATGCCGTCGTTACAATACGTTAATTTTCGTTTCTTATATAATGTATGTATAAATAATTACAGAATATACAAGGTGGACCTTCCTGTACCTTGTGGGATTGCCTGTGATCTCTTCGATAATTTATATTCGTAAACGGTGAATCAAACCTGAAACGACTCTTTGAATTACTTCAGGTTATATTGTGACGCTCTAATTTATTATAAAACTTTTCTTGTATTTATTCCGGATTTTTTTTTAAATATTTTGGCCGTCTCTTCGTGCTTAATAATACTCTGTCAGTACGTAATTCATTATCATATTCGAGTTATGTTTTTTTTCTAGTATTTTGATTCTTCCTGTTATCTTCAAACCTGTCAGATAGAAGGTGGTACCTTCCAATTCACAGTAACACTTGAATTAGGGACTACTCTCATGACCCATATGAAAATATTCATAATGATATAAAAACTATTTGATGTGGTAGCCATGTTTACACTTGACTCGAATATTAAGCTCAGTTATTAATTTTCCCTTTCCATTTGATTCTGCGATAATTGCTTTAACGCTTCTTAATGTTTGTATTTTTCCCTTCTGTTTCTTTCTTCTGATGTCTAAATTTTTCATTCTCTTTCTCTACAGTGTCAGCAATAAGTTAAATGGTATGACGTTCAGAACGACCAAAATCGTTTACCAAAACCGGAATGCAATGGTGCCATGGGAACATTTAATTTTCAATCTTCTTTTGTGCTATACGGACGCTGTGTTATAAATATCTCCTAATATTTGCTATAATATTTCGTGATTCCAAATTTTTGATTATTTCAAGTGAATTTCTGTATGTATAATAAGAACAAGTTCAAATTCTGAAATAAATAAAAATTTAAAGTAAAAACTATTAATAAAAGTTTATTATGATGTTGATATTTTCATAAAACCTGCATAATCTTGCGGCATTTATCAAGATGTTATTAAGCAAAACACTTATAAATATTTGACCGCCCTTATATAAATATTGCAAAGCATATATAAAGTATAATATAAGAAGCCAATGCTCTTAAACACAACAAACAAGTGCTTATATGAATGTGCCTTGCCGTTTCCTTCAAAAACAAATAATAATAATACTTTGTAAAAGGAATTTTTTTATATTAGACTTTGGGTATTTTACAAAAAATGGAAAAAAGCAAACTCTTTTTCTTTGAAAACGTCATGTCAATCTTTGAGATAAACACAAATAAACAGCTTGGTTATATGAGCGCCTCATAAACAGATTATTATGTTTTACTCTCAAAATTACTATAGAAAGTAAATATACATTTTGTGTTCAAAATAAATGGATTTCTATAACAATTTAAAGGGCTTAAAGGTGAAAAATATATTTTACAGGTAATAATGTGCAAAATTTATTAAATAAATAATGTTCGAGATATTTTACTTAATATTTATTCATTTTTTTAATTTTTATTAATACCTATGCGTGTATGTATATCAGTAAATGACGTAAGACAAAACGTCATGCATAATGTGTTTTTCTTAAAATTGCTTTATATGACTAAGATTTAAATTTATATGGGCATCGGGGCACAGGGGACACAGTGACAACATCCGCTTCTATGGACAATCAATGTCTGCCATTAGGGGTAAACTTGGCGTTCTACATGAGGGATAACCGAATCTTCACTTTCGCAAACTGAGAAAATCGGACTCCTTTTTCTGTACGGCCATACATATCTTGTATGACTGTCCCACTCTGGCCGTTGGGAAGCACATATTTTTCTGGCGGGGCTTTCTCAGGGTTTTTCAGGAACTGGGGTAGCACAAGGAAGGGCTGCTATAAACCATAGCTGGCTGCGGTAGTCGAAGGGAGGAATTCCTTTGTCCATATCCCTCTTCAGTAATCTACAATATGCAAATTATACATTTTAGTAATTAGGTTATTTCGATTACAAATTTTGAATTTTTTTTAAGATTATTCAGATATTACTAGAATTCAGAAGTGATATTACTAGAATGAATGCCGGGGAGCAGAATCAAAAACCAATAAAAAGTAGAAGTAATATCACTTTATTTTTCAAGAAGCTTTTCTTATACAAAATAGGATACACATATAAAAACGCTACGCATGGCTTAGTAAATATTTATAGGAAGAGAAATAATAAATTCATATGTGATTTTTTGATTACTAAATTCTGTTATGTATGCGTACGAAGTAGCACAATTACATATTGTATAACTTATTTACTATAAACTCGTTACCGAAACTGCATTCTTAGTAACACATTTTATGGCAAATTTTTAAGCTCATTCTCGGCTCCTAAAGTATAGATGCGGTATTTAAAAATTTAATTAAATTATGGCATTCTTCAATCACAGACAATTTAAGTGCACATATATTAATTTCCAATGCTTTATATAGAAAAATTTAATTGACAAAACAAAAATTTCGAAAATCTTTAAAAATTGTATTCCCCCCCCCCTATATTTTGGTAATAAGCTTAAATTAAAAAGCATATTTTAGAATTTTTACCGGTGACAAAAATATAGTGAAAAGATTTGTAAAATGTGACAGCTTTTTTTAAACGAATATTCGTTAAAAATAAATAATTGAGAAAATGAATGTATGTTTGTATAGAGAAAACAGATGTAAAAGGAGAGAGAAAAGAAAAAAAATTATATATAGAAATTTAAAATGGAAAAGGAAAACGAAAATTATTGCGCTTGCTCGCCTTTTAATATAAAAAGAAAAAAAAATATATAGACAATTTACAGCATGTTTTTCTTTTGACTCTTATATCCTCGTTAATTTTACATCACACCATGCTATATATATGTATATCATAAGAATAATAACATAGGCATACAAAAACACAAATAATATGTATATGTATACTACGTTTATTATACATTTTGACATTTACTATCTCTCTATATTTTTATGTGTGTATGTATATAAACAATCAACTTTCTATTTTGCTAATATTTGAACTTTGCTGTTTATATAGAACGAGTATTAGTTGTTGTTACCCTTTATGTACGTATGGTATTAAGCGATAAGTATTACCGTTTTGGTTTTTCTACTCCATTATCATTTTTTCTTTCTTTACCTTACTCTCTTTGTTTGATTTAATCGTATTTTGTTTTCTTTTTTTTGAATTTAAAAGAGAAAGCATGATGGAATGTGACGAAAACTTGACGAAATTAAAACTTTCCGTTTACTATTGTAATGATTATTTTCTTTAATAAATGATTTTGAAAACAAAATTTCTGTTATATTTTAACTGTTTTCATTGCGTATTGTATATACACTTATACATAAAATAATAATTGTGTTGAAATGTGATATAAAGTGAAAGAATGAAAGTTAAAATGAAAATGAATCAAAAGAAACAAAAAATATGTAAAACATTGGAGCACTTCCCCTTTAGCCCCCTATAACGAAAAAAGAGAATTTTGATTTTCCTTTGTGTTTTTTATAGATTTTGACCGAATTTGAGTGTCTATTTTTCTTTACTTTTGTGCTTTTCTTACCTATATTATTTTTTTCTTGTACTTTTACCAAATTCAAATTCTTAATAGTATTAGTATCACTTCTCGGTTTTAAAGTTTCAATTCGCCTTCGCTTCTAGGTAAAAATTAAAAAAAAATTTTTAAAAAAAAATTCTGAAAAAAAAAAAATTTTTAGTTTTAATATTATTGAAAAAAAAAATTAAAATATAAGAGAAACACACCCAAAATTTTAAAATATTTAAGGAAAAATTTCTTTAATTTTTCAACAAAAAAAAAAATAAAAAAAAATTTTTTTTTTTAGATCAAAAAAAAATTTATTATTAAATAACAAAAAAAAAAGCAAAAATATAGAAGAAGGAAAAATTTTTTTTTTTGAAAATTTCTTTAAAGAATAAAAAAATCCAAAAGAGGAAAAAAAATGTCTACATTTAAATTAAATAAAATTAAAAATTATAATTTTAACCTTTATAAAAATCGAAATTTTAAATTATTTTCTTTTTAAATCAAAATTTTAAAAAATTTATTTTTCTTATAAAAGGTACGTATGTATGTATATGTATGTACATATTTATATAATATTATTATTTATATGTATATGTGTAGTGTAGCAGAAAAATAAGTAGTAGAAGCGACCCCTATACAATAAAACCGAAAAAAAAGAAATTAGCTTAAAAAATAAATAAAAATCAGAAAATTTTAAATTAAAAAAATATATAGTTAAAAATAAATACATAAAATATATACATATATATATATAAATATGTATATATGTATATAAATATATATTTAAAAAAATATAAGTGTATAATATATATATGTATGTAAAAAAGTGTTATTTTTAAAAAATTTATAATAAATTTTTGGAAAAAAAAAATTTTAATTTACAAAGTGAAATTTAAAAATAAAAATTTTAATTTTTAAAAAAAATATTATTTTAAATTAAGTGATTTTTTTCCGAAAAATATAAATTAAATAAAAATGCTATTAATAAATTAAAAATATAGAGAAAATTGAAAAAAACCACTAATGCAGCAATTTTATTTTTATATTAACAAAACAACAACAACAATAACAGTAGCAGTAACAGTAACAGCATTTGGCAACAATAATTTGGAATTTACTTATAAAAAATAAAATTTTCTTTAATTTTTTCGTATATTTTTTTCTCTCTAATCTCTTTTGTTTTTCCATATTTAATAAAATATAATACATAAATATACAAAACCAATTTAATTAATTATTATTATATACCAATATAATAATTATTATTTTTATTATTAATAATTTAATAATAAAAATTATTTAATGAAAAAATATTCAACTTTTTGAAAAGAATATACAAAACAACAGAAAAAAAAAATATATAAATATATTAAAACTTATTAGCTAATTTTATAAATTATAATAATTATAACAAAAAAAAAAAAGAAAAGAAAAATTAATTGGAAAAATAATATAGAAAAAAAAATATACAATTTATAAGCACACACAGAAATATATGTACATATAATATATATATATATATCCATACATTATGTGTACATATACATATATCGAAAAAATTGAATAAATTATATATACATATATAGAAATATGTATGTATATATAATCGTATAATAGAAAAATAATCAAACTAAACCAAAAAAAAAAAAACAACACACAAAAAAACAAGGATCAGGATCATAGGAGAAAAGCAGAACAAGAAAAAGAAGGAAAATAGAATAAATTCAAAAGAAATTATTGAGTGACAAAAATCAGAAATAAAAGGATAAACATAAAAAGGAAATCTACATATATATACAAAGTTATATACAAACGTATACATAATAATAAAATAGAAGAAAAAAAGGAAATAAAATAGCAAAAATGGTAAATTGGCTAAAAATATTTTTGTTCTTCAATCTTATATATATATACCAAAATACATATATATATAATATAGAAGATATATATTATATAGTATACAAATATATGTTTATATGCTCGTATTTATATAACAGTTTATACTTTTTAAAAAAAAAAGGCATTAAAAGGAATGAAAATAAGAAAATTTAATGCGTCCATGAAAAAAAATCGTATATAAAGTATAGCATAAATATATAATAAATTCATTTATATAGATATGTATATATAATGTACATAATATACGGTTAATGTATTCTACTGTATAGAAAAAAAAAAATTCTCTATAACGATTGTCTCATATACGAGTATTTACACAAACATTTTGTCTCCGAAAAATAAGTATGGAAAAAAAAAAAAAATAAAAGTGTATAGATAAAATGTTTATTTATTTTTTCCTTTTCCTTTTTTTTTCTTTCCTTTATGAAGGTTTGAAAATAAAAAATAAAATTGGTTAAATTCACATTTATTTATACATACTCATATACATACTATGCATATACGAGTATGTTTATATATTTGAATTAATATAAAAATGTGTAATATTATAACAAGAGTGTTTCAGTTTTAATAGTTCTTAAGGGAATCTCGTATAATATTAAAATAAATTATATACAAGTACTATATAATATATTATGTTCATATATGTACTCGTATGTTTATGAATCATATTATATATGATTCATATTCTTGTATATATTTGTGTGTTATGTATAAAATTAATTTTTTTTTGTATTTTCTTATGAGATTTTTGTTTTTTATAGATGAAATTTAATTTTTTGTTTTTTTTTGCTTATTCTTTAACTACCACTTTATTATTATATAAGTTGATTTTTATATAAATTAATGAATATACTATTGTATATATATGCATATATAATTGAATAAGAATTTTGAAATATACCAATTATTGAAATTTTGAATTTTTATATAAATTGAATTTAGAAATTTTTTATTATTCATATGAAATAATTTTGCTGTAATTAAATATTCATTTTGTTATACTACAGGAAAATTTTATTTAAATTTTCTTTTTTATAATATGCATTCATTATTAATAAAAATTTAAGAAAATTATTGATTGTAGAAAATGAAAATTATTTACAAAATCAATATTCAAATATATACATAGAGTTATGTAAAATGTTTAACATTATCTATGTATGTATACATAAATTGCATATACAAAAAATGTTTTAAAATATTAGAGATTTCCATAATTGCAATTAAATACAAAATAATAACTGCGAAGCAGAACGCTGCATAAAACAACACGATAAATATACTATTCTTTACAAACAAAACAGTTCATATGATTATACTGCGGTATTCATACTAATTTCGAAATATTGCAAAAATTTAGCAATAATTATGATTGTGAACAAACTCGTTTAGCAACATTTGTTTATGAACACAAATATACCGTAGTTTTTCGATATATATCACGATAATTTGCGTTTATAAGAGAACTTATTAAATTTGATATGAAATTTTGATGCAAAACAATGGCATTTTCATACTGACTTAAATAAAAAAAAATCTTCAAATGTCATCATAAGCGATGATACTTCAAATGTACCTCATTATATTGAGTAAAACATTTTAATTTTATTTTAGTTAATTTTATTTGTTCAATTCATTTCCATACCGTACTATTTAAATACCGCATTATATTAAATATCGTAAATTGCATTATTTGAATCTTATAAAATTTTCTGTGTTTGTATCTTCATATAATATGTATACGTAAATGAATGAATAATGCACGATCAGCATAATTTTTCTATTTATGCAAATTTTATTTGTGATTTTTATGTACCAAATGAGATTTACAATAAAAAAAATTTTGATTTGGTTTTTCTTTTTTGTTAAGTAAAACTTGAATTAGAACAATTTTTTCATTTGAGTGAAACTTCATATTATGTATGTATGTATATATATGAAATTTATAAAATATTTTCTTGTTATTAGTTAATAATAAAAATGTATTTGAATATCAAAGAAAATTGTGCTGACAAAGCACAGAGTTTTCTATGAAATTGCAATATTAAAAAATATGATTAAATATAGAAAAATCATGTACTAGAGCTTAGCAACAAATTTGCAATTTTATGCTATTAAGAAAATTATTAATCAAAGGGTATATTAAGATAATTAAAATGTTGAAGAGTCTAAAATCGATTAAGAAAAAAAAAATCAATAGTTAAAACATGTAAGAAAATAAGGAAAAAGTCAAAGTTGAACGAAAAATTGCAAACAGGCAAATTTCATATTACTTATGCAAATTTCTAATAAATTAAAATTATTTTAAAACATTATTTATAAAAATTAATTTACAAATAATTGTATGTTTTTCTAATAATGAAGAATTTCAAAATTTATCAAAATTTATTATGAAAATCTCGGATTACAAACTGAATTTAGGGCAATTTAGCCGATTTCTATGTATGCAACAGTTTTTTTTAACCTTTCATAATTTTTTTTTTTTTGTATAAACCATAGTTACATCATATTTTAATCTATGAACATAAAATATACAAAGAGATTTTCTAGTGCATGCAGACATTATTTCTTTGTGCTAGATTAACAAAATGTATACTTAGATCACATACATATACAAATAGACAAAAGACATTATATAAAATATGTATATATGTATGTATATTAAAATGTATTTAAAGTAAATATGTACATTACATATTTAGATATATAATGCTCACCCTTTTTATGAAGGCGAGAAAAGAAAGCAAACAAAAAATAGAACTATCATGATTTTGTTCTACCGAAAAATAAAATTACTATAAAGAGGAAAAGAGTGTAATTTTGTACATTAATATAGATTAATATGTATATTATATAAGTATTTAAATAATATTTCCATATTCAATATAATATATTTACATTATGTAAAATTATACATATAATATATTAATATTTCATAACAGTTATTTATGTAATATTATAGAGGGTATTATTAATATTGAATGAATCATTAAAATGTGTTTTTACTTATATACTTGAGATTATCGTACACATAATGTTGCTGTATTCGAATATATACATATGTACATATTAAATGTATGTACATATTATGTACTTATAATTAAATAATTTTTTTTTATAAAAATATTAATTTATGTAGAATGTGTGTATGTATGATTAAGGGTAAATTTTTGAACAAGAATATGTCTACACATAAATATTTTTAAAAATTTCTGCAAATTAATTAAAAAATAATAGAATTAAAATCTTCTTCTTGAATTCCATCTCCTTTTTTTAGCTCCAAAAATATTTGAAATTGTGTAATATAAAATTTAATTAATTTTTTTTTCCTGTTTTATTTTTCATTAGGTTTTGTTTATAATTTGACAAATCGTGATTGTCAAATTTATTATTATTAAAATAATTATGTTCTCAGAATTCCATGGAATAACCAAAAAAAAAAAATATAATTAAATTTAATTAGAATAAATTAAAATAAATTATTGAATTTTTTATTTTGTTTTTTACATTATTATTTTTATATGCGAATACATAATTATGAAAGTATAAAATTATAATCAGTACTTATATTCAGTATGCTACGAGTATATTCAATGGATTCTTTTATTACAAGGTGTTTAATAAAATTTAATTGAATTGTGTACATAATGGATGGCTGTAACATGCTAGTGTACATTAGAAAAATCAATAATTTTCTCGATCAGGCCACAATAAAATTCAAGAGCACTAATATTTTATTAAGAGTCAGATATTAAAATAAAATTTAACATTAAGTCTTGACGTGAATAATTCAATAATGAAAACTGTTTGCGTCGAAATGTTGACAGATTATGACATTTATTTGTTTTTGTGATATGACTGTATGTTGTTTTGTAAGTTTATTTAATTTTGTTTGTTACCTACAGATATTTTAAAAAATATTGTTTAAATTTTTATTTTTAATAGTTAATAATTATAGCCAATATTTATACAAGTTAATTTATTGCTATGTCTTGTATAGTAAATTATTGTTTGAAATTGAAGGTGTTAATTAAAATTTCAGAGTTTATGAACAGAATATCCTTAAATAACTAGTCAATGAACTTAAGTAACTAGTCAATGAGCAATAATTAAGTCAAAGTCTGTTAAAAATTTTAAATTGTGAAAAATTTATAAGCACTAACAGAGTGTTTTTTTTTTTAAATTATGATTCAATTGAGGCAAATCGGCATCGATATATGATTTAGTCTATATACACATTTTAGCGTACAACACAGAAATAAAAGAGTGCTGATAATATTTCATAATTTTCTTATAATAACTCAATATTAAAAAAATTTGGATTTCCGTGTCACATACTTACTGATACTGTATTAGCTTTATTTTATTCTTCAGCAACACGTCACCCGAATATTGTATATTACTAGTATTATATTCCAATTTTATTTTTTTAAATTCACTAACATTTTTGATATTATAAATTTTTATTTTAATTCAAAAAATTTTTTCAATTGTTTAATAAAATATATCTTTCAAACAAAATACATATATATATATACATATATTTGATCATATTTATTATATATAATGTTAGTATAACTACATTTTTTAAATGTTATGTACGCATTCAATTATGTATAATTTACATAATATATAAATAGTCATAAATTCAACATATATACGAGTAGATATAATATTGTATAACATTATGTCATACAATAACTGTTTAATATAATAGTATATACAAACATATATTGAAATATACGAAAATATTGTATACCCACAAGTTAATATATTTGTATATATAAGCAAATAATATGAATTCTATTATACATACATACATTTCAAGATATAAAGAAAATTCATAATAATAATTTTTTTTCTTTTTGGGAAAAATGAAAATCATTTTTATATGAAAATTTTCGTGTAGGAAGCATAGGAATTATAAAGTTGTAAGAAAATTTAACCTTAAATAGAATATTGTA